AGACTGGACGAGTAGATCTCGGCAAACTGCTGACTTCAAAAGTAGCTCTTGGTTCAAAAAAGGTTGGGCACCCCTGGTGTATGTACATGCACAGGAATCTGCATTCAGCACAAAATCACTTAAAACTCTACAGCTCAAACTAGGTATACATGATAGTTAAAATATATGATACTTTGGTACGCTCAAATACGTGTCTTATGGGTGTAATATTGGTAAATATCTGTTACCGGCCAAAACAGTAATATTAATATCAGATATCGATATCGGCTGACATTTTCATATTGGTGCATCCCTGGCTCAAASCCTCCATAGACTGATCATCAGTGAATATAGAGTGCAGCACTGATTGATGCTCCACAACTACAATCATAGCTTTCTGTTAGTTATTGGACAGAAAACTGTATCAACAGGTCAGACAGGAACAAGAATCAGCTATCAGTGTTGGTCTATACAACCAAAGTAGTGCATCTTTACTGTTCACCAAATTAAAAGCTCAAAACAGGAACAAACAGGAACACGTTTAAACCCAAAAATGACAGCAATAATTTAAATCTATAAAGCAGAAGTTGAGGTGGTCTGTACCTTGTTTTTGGTGCAGGCCTTCCCTTGCTGGTAAACTGCCTGAGCCGCTCTCTTGTCCAACTTGGTCCACAGAGTTTTGGCCTTCCAGTAGTTCAGTTTCTCCTTTAGTTTGGTGTAAAAGTTCCTGAAGTCTTTAGGATCGATGTGCAGCTGCCGACAGAGCGTGGTGAAGTGCTGTCTCACTTCCACACAGGTCTTGGCTTGGACAAAAAGGTCAAAGGCAGCATGTGAAGGATTGGCCGGTGCCAGGCTGGCCATGGCTCAGGATGATGGTCCCCGTCCTTCTGTTCCACAGCGTGTGGATGAACTGAGGAAAAGCAGGTTTGATCACAGCGTTAACACTGCCTACCTGGACGTTTGATCACAGCGTTAACACTGCCTACCTGGAAACTGTTTCAGTCTGGGAGGACTTTTACAGTCATTTATCAGCGGGGGGCAAAGTCTTTGTCTTTGGTGTTTGCATTTATGAGGCTGTTCCAGGTTTTCCACCTACAGTGCTGAGGAAGTCCCCTCCACATGTTTACTTCATTACATGTCTGAACAGGGAGGACTTCCTGTCACCTGGTGATGGAGTCATCACAGACTTCCTCCTGTGAGGCAGCTCTGATTGGCTGTAACTTTGTTTTTATGAGCACTCTGTAAAGGAACAGCCTGCTCATGAGTCATTTACCATCTGAGGATGTGTCAGCTTCAGGAGGAAAAACTAACTTTAGCTGAGCTTTTCTATAAACCTCTGCTTTACTGAACAAGCAAAAAAAGGACTTCACCAACCAGGAAATCATACTTCATCCTATGAGAAACTAACGAACTATAACTGATTTGATTCAGTCTTGAAACTAATTGTATTTTTGATCAGGACATGTCTTTTAACCCCCACATTAAAAATGTTACCAGGACCACCTTCTTCCACCTG